AAAGAACTTCAGTAATGCAGATGTCATTTTGCAAGCTGACTTTGTAGTAAGCATGTTTTTTTGTAAAAGGAATGGGACTTTGAGCTTGAACACCGAAAGATTCCTTGTTTACTGAAATGCAAGACTTTATTTTGGTAGCACCGTTGGATTTGAATCATTCCCTTTAAGTCTGATGGGTAAGTGCATAGCTGACTGGGAAATGAGAAGGGAGGCTGGAGCACAGGATTCCCTCAGTTAAGCTGAGAAGGTTAAAATGGATAAAGGGCAATACCTTCCTGAGAAGGAGTCCATACTCTCCCTACAGAGAGAAAAGTCAGACAAAGGTGAGGGGAAGGAAAATTACTTAGTCAAAGGGCACCGGCCAAGTTAACAACTAATTAGGGTTTGGAGAAAATGCATCAAAGATTTGATTGTTTGCAGAGGTCTGTAACAACCCAATGTGCTTGACTTTGCAGGAAGACAACGAAAACCTATAAAAGTTTTGGGTTCTGCTATTTTCTAATAATATTCCTGGAGGTTATAATGAGACAGTTGAATTAGACTGTCCCAGGACAGGTGAATGTCTTTGTCTGTCTTTGGGCGTGGATATATTTTAGGCAGGTGGGTCAGTGGTCTGAAAGCAAACTGAGGTTTTCTGCAGTCCTAAGCCCATATCACCTGCAAAAAAAAAATATTTCAGAGTGCACCTGATAATTCGGAGTGAAAAACCATTGGTTCAGGTCAGAAATACTTGGAACCTCAGACATAAATTAATTTGTGAGGCTATTCAAAGGAATATATTGATCCAGGGTGAACATATTTTCCATGTCTCCTTTTTTTTGAGATTCTAAACAGGCTGCAGTTAAATTTGTTCATAAGAGGTGGAAGTATCTAAACTAAGAGAAGAGACTGTTTTCTGGGTTTGCTGTTGATTTTAGAAGATGTGAGTACATGGCAAAAATAATACAAAATGGTTAATTTACTAAACAGAAGTTTATGAAATATTTCCTCTCCACAATATTTAATTTGTCTTCTCTGGTATTTCTGTCTTTGGCTTAGCTCACTAGCTTTCAGTATTTTTGTCACGGTTTTTGGTTTTTCTTAGCTCCACCAGTATCTTTTTCTGTCCTTATGTTCTACTTTTTTCACTACTATTGTCTCTTGATCTTTTATGCCTTTCCTTGTGTGGCTGACTAATCCTCCAATAAATGTATGCTAACAGGCTTTGCTTAAGCCACTTCTGTCACATACCTTTTTACAGTTCCAAATGTGAAAATTTGCATCAAAGAGATGAGTGTGTACTCATACATTTAATCTGGAACCTTTTCGTGGTGGAGATACTACTGTATATTCAGACCACTTCACAGTGCTTTGGATTCTTGTCAGTTAGTATATTGTTCTGGAGAAATTATTCAAGACGTGCTGTCAGCACACAGTGCTAATCAAACAGCTGATTTTAAGATGGCCAGCTGAAGAATAGAGAAGTACTTGTATATCCAAAGTTAAGAAGATAAAATATTCAGCTATGTAGGAAGGAGTTAAGTAAGATCATAACAACTTAAAAGACTTAGCTTTATCATAAATAGTTTCAGACACTACATCCATCCAGTTTCTTCATAAGTTACAGAAGTATAAGTTAATTAGTATCTTGAAATTCTTCTCTAATGAGAAGGAAATGTGAATTCAGTGCTGGATAATTTCACTGTTCTGAGTTAGGTTCAAAAGAATAGTAAGATCATGCTGATGATGTGTAGTAATTTTATATAAACAAAATTAGTACAGGTGTCTTAAAGAAAAGTAATTTCCTAGTAATGCACTAAGTCATGAAATAAACAGTCTTGGCAGCAAGAAGTTTGTTGCCTTTTGTTTGGTTTTGTTGTTGTTTGTTTGCATTTTTTACTTTATTTGTTTGCAGTGATTAAGAAGAGAGTATGAGACACCATTTTAGGATATAGGTTGGTGTGATTAGATATTTAGGTCATGGAAGTGCAAGCTTAAGTCTGAGGACTTTTCATTAGTTTCTGGTAATTGCTCAAAGATAAAATTGAGTAAGTGATGTCATGAATGAGTTTGTTTTATAGTTTACTACAAGTCATTCTTCCTGACTGTATTTAGTCCAAGTCTTCAAATAGGATTATAGGTTAGCTGTGTACAGATCTAGAATATTCAGAATGATGCTGCTGAAGGTAAAATACAAGATACTGATTTTCACAAACTTTTACTGTAGAAGATAACTCTAAGCATTTTCAAAATTAAAATGCTTTCAATAGTAGATGAGTTTGGGTAGTATGAATACATAATCTCATCATGCATTCTTACTTGGTCAAAATTGGCATGTAAGTAAGTGTCTGAAATGTAGTATTGGGCCCATAAATTGGTTATTAAGAACATGCAGCATTAATTTATATCTGAATTGAAAAAGTTACTGATTTCTTTCCTTTAGGTATCTGATGTCCAAAGCAGCTGGAGATCACCAACTCCCTCTCTGTATGACATCACTAGAAAACACTAGACTGGTGATGTCACACATACCACAGAACCCCGCTGCAGAATGGAGCAGGCCTATTAAGGGTAAGTTTTCTCACCCCACCACCACCCCTTTTCAACAATATTGCATGGTTTTATAAGATGGCTAATTTTCTTTACTTTATGTCCCTGGGACATAAAGTAATGATTACAGAAAATCTTATAAAACTGCATAATATTGTGGTGTTGTGTGTGTGTCTTTATTTAAAAGCAAAACAAAATCTCCTATATGAAGATCAGTTCTTAACCCTTAAATCCATATCCTGGCTCCAGTCTGCTTTGGGGTTCCATGATGAGTATGCCAGAACAGTGTATGTTCGGGCATCAGTCACAGAGAGCGGAGTCAGCATTTCCTGGCTGCTCTGGATGTCAGAAACCTTGTTTTAAAAGGTAAGTTTGCTGTTGTGAGAATGTGTTGGATGTCTCTCTGCATTGATATGGAAATATTCAGCACATTTCTAAAATGTATTTTTGTGGGTTTGTTTTTAAAATTTACTTGTAACTTGACACAGCTCAAAGACACATTTTATTCTTGTTCTTTCTTTGGGCCTTTTTTCCTCTTTTATTTTCCTGTCGTTAATACCTTATATTGTGTTTCCATAAAAATGTAGTGTTTTGTTTGTCACTATCTGTAACAAGATGGTAACTAAATTCTGTTTAATATCATTCTCAATGATCTGGACAAGGGGATAGAGTGCACCCTCAGTCAGTTCACAGACGACACCGACCTGGACAGGAGTGTTGATCTGCTGGAAGGTTGGAAGGCTCTGCAAAGGGATCTGGACAGGCTGGATCTTTGGGCTGTGGACAATGGTGTGAGGTTCAACAAGGCAAAGTGCCAGGTTCTGCACTTCAGCTGCAATAACCCCAGGGTTGGGGGCAGAGTGGCTGGAAAGCTGCCCAGTGACATCCTGACTTCTGTCAAAAATAGTGTGGCCAGCAGGACCAGGGTAGTGATGGTCATCCCACCACAGTTGCTCAGAAATTAATAGTTTTGTGCTGTTTGAACTCTGTAGTATTTTTTCATATCTCTTTAATACTACATTTTCACACATCCCCTTCTTTGCTATATCTACTTCACGTACAGCATTTCTGTATCTGAGTAGTAGTTGCATTCTTTATTCCTGCTTCTTGATTTTTGTTTTGAAACAATCCACTAATACTCAGTAGTATATAAATTCATCCTTTGCAGACTGTTTGGTGTTTCTTACATGAAATAAAAATCTGTGCATGTAATAGTCCTTCATATATTAACAATTAATTCTGTTGACTGCTGACATTAGAAGATTATACCAAGTACTTTGGTAGGCTACAGTATGCACAAGTGCTGTTTTCTGTTGCAGTCATTAGTGGCAGGTTTAGTGCTGCAGTCCATTACATGTGCAAATATGACTGTGAATGAAATTAGAATACAGTTTGTTGGCTTGTCCGTGTGCTCAACACTGATTATTATGTGGCAGTGTGGCATAATTTCCTACTTAAAATCTTTGGCTTTTATAATTTTAATTGAAGAATGAAGGAATAGCTATTCAGTTTGTTATGTGGTTTGTAAGTGATTATCAATAAGAAATAGATACCTGGTCTTCAAACAAGCATTCAGCCTGGCAGAAGTACTAGACTATACCACATCTCTTTTACAACAGACATATATATGAATTGTTTGGTCTTTTATGTAATTAGCTACAGAATAAAGTTTTGGAAAGAAATGCAAGGAGTATCTACAAGTGCTAAGGGGTGTGTTTTGCAGCACCTAGTCACCATGGTTGTCATTTCCCAATGTCTTTTATCCTCACTCTGACCTTACAGATTTCTAAAAACATGATGTTTTTATGGAAGATCATAAGATTATATTTACCAATATTGAAAACAAACCCATTTTTAATTACACATTTGAATTAAAACCTTAATGATTTTGTGTCTGATCCCTGCTGCATAGTCTGTTGCTCCATAAAAGACCAATTGGCAAAACTTTTCTTATAATAAACTCTTTATCTAGAATTTTGAGTAAAATACAGTGCAAAAACTGTGAGGGTTTTATCCCTGAGAACTGTAGGTTTTGATTTGGTTTTTTGCAAATAATAATGATATCATTTGTATCACTTCTCATAAATACGATTATGGTAAGTTTTTATCTAGAAATTTAATGTCTAACTATGAAAAGTGTACATAACATGGTTGATTTCCCTGACCTGAGTGGATTACTACCTATGTTAGTTACCCATGTAAGTAATTTTAAACACATGGTATGTTTGTAGGATCATGCTTCAGTTTTAAGTTTGACCTATAAAAAGTGAACATACTTGCAGTATTACTTATTTAACTAGGACTTTATTTCTCTCTTTCTAGCATAAAAGAACATGAAGTATATTACTGTTTTTATATAGGTTAAGGGTAGATGTAATTGTGAAACTTCCTAATATTTTCTCTGAGTTATTTCCTTTATATGTTGTATTAGTGTACCAGGATTATTGTAGTACTAATACAACCTAACAAGATTCAGGTCTAACACAATGGTAAATACTTGGTATTTATGTTTTCAGGGAAGATGGTACCACCGGAAGCAAGCAGTAAAGGAATTGCATGGCACCTTGTTGCGACTGCTTAATGAACTGATACCATGGGAACCAAAGCTAATGAAAGCGTTTCAAAGAAACAGGTAATTAGCTGCTTTGTTTTCAACAATGGTGCTTGGAATGTAAAACAGGACAAATTCACCTTTTAAAAACTAATCCATAAGTTGGCTTCTCAAAGAAATTAAACAAAAATTATTTGACAAGGGGAATGACGCACTGGCAGTGCTGTAGTTGGAAGAATTATTTTATATTCCAGATTTACGATCTCTAAATAAAGTTAATTTAACCCCCTGACGTTTTTTTCCCTCTATGATCCTTAAGCATGCCTACTGATTATGTATCACAATACAGCTGGGATTTGTATTACTGCTTATTTCGTTAAGAGACGCTGAAAACCGTTCTCTAGAAAACTAGAACGGGGCTTCTTAGAATACTCTCTTTAAGTACTTAACTCTCTAAAGCTATCTAAACTGGTTGTCTGTGAATTCTCCATGGATCAATTCTTAAAACACTATTCTGAGGTCACAGTAACCTGGTAAATTCAAAATGCATTTGCAGTGAGGTGTGTCAGGGGACTACCAGTGAGGAGGTGATGGATTTAAATCTCCTAAGGGCAAGTGTTAGTAGCAGTGAAGATTCTACCCTGATTATAAATGTTGCAGAGACTGGATATTGACTTGGTATTGTCATCGTGTCTTGAAACTCAGTGCCGTTCTTGTCTGTTAGCTATACAACTTTTGCTGTAAGTGTAACTTGGTTTTGGCACACAGACAGTTAAAAAAGTGAGTAATGATTAGGAGCTTGAATTCTGTGACAAATGGTAGGAAAAGTTAGGCTGCTGCTTAAAAGTTGTGTGTGAAGAAAGCAACTTACACAGTTATGTGGTGCGGAACTAATGCTATGGAGTGTAAAAGGTATCATGTTTAAAAAACCACCATAACGTAACACCAAAAACAGTAAACATAAATACAAGAATGGGTTCCTTAGTAGTTTTTTTTATGGATATCATGTATGAATTAAAATTCTTCATCGGAAATTTAGGATATTGTTGAACATTTTGCTTTAAATAATGGTCTAAAGTACAAGTTTTGGTTTTCTTCCTGTTCCTTTCTATTCCTGTTTCTGATCATTTTCCTTAGCTGTTCCTTTCTTCCTGTCTTCCACGATTCAGGCTCCTTTTGGAAACATGGCAGATAGTCTTACTGTTAGAAAGGATTTCATTTTCCAGTGTTTAGTGTTTCCGGTTTTATCCTTCTTGTGAATTCTTCTGCAAAATGATGTAGTGCTCATTATTTGAGTCCACTATATTCCACAAATATAGTTCTTATTTGTGGAATCATAGAATGGTTTCGGTTGGAGGGACTATTTAGTTCCAACCCCTCTGCCATGGGCAGAGCCACCTTCTGCTAGACCAGGCAGTATAAACAGAAATAGAAAGTAATCCTTATCTTCATGATTTTTTCTCGAAACCACAGCTTCTCTGGGCAGCCTCTTCCACTGTCTCACACTAAAGAATTTCTTCCTAACATCTAATTTAAACCTACTCTCCTTCAGTTTGAAGCCATTCCCCCTTGTCTTGTCATTACATGTTCTTGTAAAAAGTCTCCCTCCATCTTTCTTGTAAGCTCCCTTCAGGTACTGGAAGACCACAATTAGGTGACCCTGAAGCCTTCTCTTTTCCAGGCTGTACAATCCCAATTCTGTCAACCTTTCGTTGTAGGAGAGGTGCTGCATCCCTCTAATCATGTTGGTGGCCCTTCTCAAGACTTGCGCCAACACATTAATGTCCTTCCAGTTCTGAGGGCCCAGAGCTTGATGCAGTATCCAGTTGGGGTCTCACCAGAGTAGAGCAGAAGATCAGAATCACCGCCCTTGACCTGCTGCCCATGCTGCTTTTGATGCAGCCCAGGACACTGTTGGCTTTCTGGGATGCCAGCCTCTCATCTACCAGCACCCCCAAGTCCTTCTTGACAGGACTGCTCTCAATCTGTTCATCCCCCAGGATTGATCCTGGGGGTTGCCCCAACCCAGGTGCAGCATTTTGCACTTGGTCTTGTTAAACCTCCTGAGATTCCCACAAGCGGGTCTTCACCTGACTGCCAAGACTTTTTGAATATCATCAAGAGTGACTTGGCAACTACTTCAGCCAGTCTTGATTCTTGTCCATAGGCTTTCGATCTGCTCATGGCTGTACTTCAGAGAAAACTCTTCACAGTTAATTCACCTCTTGATGAAGGGGGCAACCCATCAGCCTCTCCTTCCTCCCCTGTGTCTTCTGAACAGCCTGTAGCCATCAGTAGTTGCACTCCAGTCATGGGATATGTCCCACCAAGTTTCAGTAATGGCAACAAGATCATACCTTTCTAGCAGCATGGTGACTTCCAACTCCTGCCCGTGCTGCATTGATGTGGTTATAGAACACAGAAGTAGAACTGTCAGTCTAAAGTGTGTAGAAGTGAGCTGTGACTAATATGAATAAATTTTAGTCTGGAACTGGGTGTTTGGGATCTCAGGTGTATGTGCACTGGTAGCTAGAGAAGCATGCACTTAAGAGTGGAAGCTAACTTCTGAGATTAACTCATATTTCTCTGTATCTGTGTTTTAGGCTCTAATCCTAGTTTGTTCAGTCATGCTATTCTGGGTGTTTCTATGACATAACTGTTTGGACATACACACAGTATACCAGGAAATGGCTCCATTTGAAAAACAATGTTTACAAATCATGGAAAGGAAAAAACCATGGGTGGGGGAGACTAGGTAAATGTCTTGGTCTGGTTCTTTATGCAGCTCCTAGGCAGCTGTGTAGTACCAATGACCATGGTGAAGAAAGGTGTCATGTGAAAGGGAAAAAGAAATTGAGTAAAAGTTGTTTATGGTGGTGTAAACATCATCACCACAAGTCTCACTGCAGTTGCAGTGTCTGTAGGGTGTCTCAACAAGCTACTAACATCTACTAATTGAACAAGAGTATTAATCTTCTAAGTTACTAAGAGCAGAGCAACTTCCTACTTATACCTCAGTATGGAATAAGAGTCTGGAGTTTTCCTTCCTCCCTTTTTTATTGTCTTTAACTGGTATGAGCACACTTTATGATTAAAATCCTTTTTTTCTTCTTATGAAAGGTCCTCTGGTCTTTTCAAAATTATGACAGAGTATTATGTTCAATGGTATTCGAATAGCAGGAAGGTTTAAAAGGAATGGTTACTTGTGTTACATTTTTTCACTGGCTCCACAGCGGAAGTTTCTTTATAGAAAAAAGGAAATTTCCATTCAGAAGCTTTAGTACAGTAGTGGTTCTCCGATAGCCTTCTAGAGTTCTTCTGCACCTAGACTTCAAACTCAAAATCCTGATGGCAGAGTTGAAGTATTGTCAACACAATGTCAACATTCATTTGCTAAATACCCCTCCTGGGTATTGTGTTGGTTACCACCAGCTGATTCCTGAAGCTCACTATATCTGTACACTAAAATACCTGCTACATCCCACCTAAACAATGGTTTAGAGGAAGGGACAATGGAAGCATGTAGCAGTATCAAGGTAAGTGGGTATGTTTCTGAGTGGCATTCAAATGTATAAACCAGCTCTGTATTTCTGTCATATGCACATTCTTTAGTGGAGTGTGAACCTATGGAAATAATAGCAGCAGCTGTTCTAATGACCTAGAGATAAGAAAGTGTTCTTAAAGGAGAAAGTTACATTACAGTCCCATAGCTGAGCCAAAAGCATGGTATGTTTTAGAAAAAGGAGTTTTACCGAATTCTGCAGATGGGATTGCCTTCAAAGGAAGGAGTAGACTTGTTACATTTAATGCTCAAGTCCATACAGATGTATTGTCACAGTGCAAGACAAAGGAAGAAACAGAAGACGGATGAAGTAAAACAGTGATGATTATATCTGACTCAGTCTTTATGCATATTGCTAGAGGACTTAATGACATAGAATTTCTGTCACTTCACATTTTCTGGGTTTTGGAGACTTGCAGACAACGCTACACTGAAATATTTTGAAGGGCACCGGCAATTAAGGCTATACCAACTTCTTGTGTGGCAGCAAATGCAAATAAAAATAATGTTTAAAGCAGTGTGGTTCTTCAGTAAAGTTAGTTTTGTTATTTTCAAGGTCTAGATTGAAGAAGGACTATGATGACTTTAAAAGACATCCGGATCATGATAAATTTACCAGAGAATTTTGGAGTAATGATGAAAGTGAAGCTGATTCTGGCAAAGAATCTTTTGCAGTAGTATGCGGTAAATCATCAGAGTCTGCAGAACATGTAGAGGTTCCCAAAAAAGATCACTCAGACAATGGTAAGCATTTACTGGAATTTGGTAGCTTGAACTTGATTCATGAGTTGAATCAAGTTGATTTGGAAACTTAATTTTTCTATGTGAGCTTGTGTCCTCCTTTTTACCATAACTACTACTGTGATAATGTCCAATAGTTTGTGATGACTATCTGTCAGATGTAGAGTTGAAGAAAGCAGACATGATCAAGATGAAAATTCTGCTTTATTCAAGTTTTTGCCATTTTCTGTGCTTAACTATTTCTGTGATATTTATTACCAATTAAAAATAGAGTAGGATGGTGAGAAACAAATACAAAAGCTAAACCTCCTCCTGCCCATCTCCACCTTCTTCAGAGGCTCCACTTCATTCCCAATTCTTCTACCTCCTCTCCTGTCAAGTGGCACAATGGGGATGGCATTTGGGGATTGAGTTCAGTTCATAACACTTAGTCTCTGCTGCTCCTTCCTCACCCCTGCTCCAGTGTGGGGTCCCTCCTATGGGATACAGTCCTTCACAAACTGCTCCAGTGTGGGTCCTCTTCACAGGCTGGAGTCTTTCAGGATAAGACTGTACCACTATGGGTCCCCTGTGAGCCACAGCTCCAGTGAGGGCTCTTAATGGGCTGCAGCTTCTTTCAAGGCATATTCACCTGCCACAGAATGGGGTCCTCAGCAGCCTGCAGTGTACATACCTGTTCCAGCATGATTCTCTATGGGAGGAGTTCAACCTCATGATCTTAATGGGTAGCGGGGAGAGTCCATTCCAGTGCCTAGAGCACCTCTTTTCCCTCCTGCTTCACTGACTTTAGTGTCTACAGGGGTGTTTCTCCTGTGTTTTTTCCTCACACCACGCTGTCATGCTCAGCTGTGTAGTGTTTGGCACGAGACATTACCAGCTTGGCTGACAGGCTCAGCTGTGTCCTGCAGTGGATCTATTTTGCTGTCAGCTGTGTCTGTCACAGGGCCTCTCCTGGCCTCTCTCCTCACAGAGGCCCCCTGGCAGCCCAGCACTGACAGAACCTCAATGCATGGTCCCTCTGTCCACCTGAAACCCCCCGCATGCATTCTCAGTCCTCTTAGGCACTTTGTGCATCCCGTGCACACTGGCTGGTCCAGCTTGATGCTCAGTATGAAACGTGGCACTCACATCTTTGTCCCACAGGCGAACCCCATGCTCACAAGCCCACCTGTTACGCCAGCCCACACCCCAGACCCTCCTGCTCACCCAGGTGGTCTGGCTTGAGTTTTACCAGTGAATGCACACACACTGCCCCCATACATGCTGGATTTGGTGAGTATACAGCGGCTGCCACCAAGCATACAGGCTGTGACCTCTTGCAGCTGTCCTTGCAGCACTCCATTCCTCTGCACATCCCTTCACAGGTTTATATAGGTGTACTGATTCCCTTGCCCCTGGGCCCAGTCTCCAGGACCTCCCCTGGTTTGCAGTCATATCAGGTGCAAAGTCCAGGTTGATCTTCCTGCAAGGGACACCTGAAGTTTCTTGATACCCCATCAATTGGTGTGATTGGTGAGGTTGTTTCTTGTCAGTGTCTCCATTTTTGTTTTGTTAGATCTGTGTCTCCAGTTTTTGTTGGCTTTTTTTGATGTCTTCTGCCTTTTTGCCTTCAAGATAACCTTGCTGCAATAAACATTCTCACACTCTCACTTGCCATTATCATTTAATGTGAATGACCAGGTTTGGTTTTCCTCACTGTCTCCCATGCTGGTCAGGTTTCTGTCCCTGTATGTCCATGTTTGTTACTTCCTCCTTTCCTGAGTACCCCCTTTTTGCATTGAGAATGGTCCTTGACCAGATGCCCATAAAGAAGTAGACATTTCTTTCCACATATCTTTACTCTTGCAAACTAATATATTGCCTTTAGCTAGACACTGTAAAATTGTAATATAGAGGCATCAGTTGCAAGCTTGTAAAACTGTTCCTGTTTCAATATCCTTGCAGATGAAGTGAAACTCTTAGAGATGAATTTACCTTCAGGAAAAAACAGAATTTTGAAAAAAGAATCAGCTAATAAAGAAATACAGAAGGCACTGCACAAATGTGTTAAACAACAGTTCAAGCAAAAGAGTTGTCTGGATCAAAGCACTAATGAGCTTTCACCGAGGAAGAAAGCAAAGCTGAGCACTAATGAGGCTGCAGTCCAGAGTTCAGAGTGTAGCCCACAGCCGGATAGTTGTTTGACTGAGCTGAAACAACAATGTGACGGGTCAACTCTAGAGTTGTTTTCCTTGACAGATCCTGCAACATCAGTATCAAACTCTCTGAAAGGGACCAAACCCATCCAGGCCTTGCTTGCCAAGAATACTGGGAACAAAGTGACCTTAACAAATCAACTGTCACCTCCCCCCAGCATAAATGTATCTAGTTCTGAAAAGTCAGTTTTACCACCAGTGGAATCATCACCGATCAAACCAGCAGTGCCCTGCCAGGCCAGTTCAAAGACTCCTTTACAAATGGTGTACAAAATGCCAAATGGCCACTGTGTACCAATTGACCTCCACAACAGCTCTGTAAAAATTCAAGTGCAACCTGTGATTGACCCTAAAACTGGAGAAAAAGTCATGCAGCAAGTTCTTATTTTACCTAAGAATTTTCTTCTTCATCAGAAAGAAGGAAAAATTATGTCCAAGGACGTTCAGTCACTACAACAGAAATCATCTGAGCTGCACTGTGCATCTGTACCAGAAACATCAAATGTCAGTGTTTGTTTAACACCTGTTCTGGTAGCAGGCCCTGCAAATGCTACCACTCAGTCACCTGGTACAGTTTTTAGCAAGAATATTACCCATTTATCACAAGTGACTAGTCCCCTGAACACTACACAACCATTGCCTGATTTAACTTCAGCAGGTAACTTACTATCATCAACAATTAAAGTGAGCGAAACTGAAACTGACAAAATCAAGTGTACAGCTTCGACTGCTACATTCCCTGTGTCTTTGACTTCACCTACTCTTTCCACAGCTAGCCAGTCCTTAATACCAGCAACAATATTAAGCGGGTCTGCAAACACTGATTCTGCCTGTCATAGTCCTGCATCACAGCAGCCAACTGACTCCTTTGAAAGTAGGCAGGAGCTGAAGACAGTGTGTGTAAGAGAATCACAATCTATTCTGGTCACAACACGAGGTGGAAACACGGGAATTGTTAAAGTGCAAACAAACCCAGACCAGATTTCACACAGTAGTTTATCTTCTAGTTCAGTTTTCACTTACGCATCTCAGCTTCAGGCCTTTCTTGTGCCAAAAACCACAGCATTATCATGCTCTACTCTTCCATCTGTAGCAACAGCCACAGCTGGTCTCCCACATATCACACAATCATCTCTTTCTGGATTTGCTCCCTCAACAGCTTCTTCTGTTAACATTCCGGCTTTCCCAGCTGATTCGACCCAGACAGTGGAGCAGAGTATCAAATTCACATTGCAGCAGCCTGCTGTTGGGGACACTTCGGGTCAAGTAATAGAGAACTCCTGCTATGTGTCCTCTCCTTTATCCTCCTTTTCTCTGGCCAGCAATTTGATGTTGGCAACTCCAAACAGTCCTGTTAGTGTGACTAGCACTGGACAAAATAACACTGTCATAACTCCGAATCCTTCTGTGCAGCATCATGGTGATGCTAAAATCAAAACAAGTTCTTTTGTACAATCGGAGTCTAATTCAGCAACAAATGGAGATTCAATCAGTGGTACTCCAGTCCAGAAACTTACATTAGTCACAAATCCACCGATTTTATCTCCCCCTGGAGCATCAGGAGTCAGTATTGTACCCTCTGCAGCATCCACTGGTGTTAATGCTCAGAAGCTGGTTTTCATTAATACACAAATTGCCAATGGCCCATCAACCACCAGTCCAGTTGCAGAGCCATTGAAACAGAACCTTCCTTCTTCCCTAAGCAAAACTTTTGTTAATGCCACAGAGCAACCACAGTTGGTTCTGATCCCATCTACAATAGGAACACCAGTAAGAATAAATTCATCATCAACTATTGCTCAAGTAAAAGATGTGAAAATTGGATTAAATATAGGTCAGACCATTGTAAATACTAAAGGCAATGCACAGGTGGTCCCACCAGTTAATATATTACACTCTGCCATTTCTAAGGGAGAAGACAAAAAGAGCATGGGCTTGGTGCTATCTTTGACAAGTAGTAGTACTGTAGTTCCTATTCCAAGTTTTGCTGTATCGGTTAATGAATCTGTATGTGTTGCAAAAAAAGCTGAAAATGCCTTTACAGTAACCACAGCAAATGCATGTGTAGAATCTGTTACAGTAACATCAAGTGGGCCTTTTTCTGGGACACAGCCCACGGTCTTGATTGGTGGCAATGATCCCTCAAGAATAAAGCCAGTTCTAGGTAATCAGCTTTGTACGTCAAATGTTGGAAATACTGTGGGTATATCAACTGTGAAGACAGGACATCTTGCTTCATCTATGCTGATTTCAACAACACAACCAGCAGTATCTCCACAGAACTTAGCGTCTGCTCTGCAATTTCCAATCATTAGCTTGTCTGGATCTGCAGCCACCCCCCACAAGGTCTTACATACAGTTCCTCAGCTGGCAGCAGTTCCAGCTCCTCCTCCTGTACCAAAAAGCCAGTTGCCCACACTGCTTCAGTTTCAGTCATCAGGAATCCCAACTGCTATGTCAAGTCATGCAGGTATTCACAAAGCTCAGAGTGTGTTGCCCCCTCCATCACCAAATACTGGTAAAGTCATTAGTTTTCCCAGTTTTTCTGCTCCACAATACCAGCAGGTGCCTCCCAGTACAGAGAAAAAAAGTCATGCTTACACTTGTGCTTCTACCATTCAGATGCCTGCAGCTTCACCAGCTGTAACAAACAAAGCAGGAGGAGGTCAGCTGAACGAACCTTGCATTCAGCAGAAAATAGTCATTAACACCTGTATGCCTTTGGCACCTGGAACACAGATCATTATTAATGGTACTCGTTTCATTGTTCCACTGCAAGGCCTTGGAGCTGGCAGCCATGTCCTTCTTCTCTCCTGTAATACAAAACAGACTCCTTTAACTATTAACCATAGTCAAGAGGCTCAAGGTGTACCAGTTGTTAATCCAATAACCTCAAAAATCATCCTAGCACCAAGTAACTCATTAAGCTGGCAAATATCAAAACATCCTTTAAAAAGCTCTACAAAAATCGTGAACTCTTTTGGGGCTCCAGATGCTTTACCCATTGTACATGCAACGCCCCAGATACTTAGTACTCAAGCTAGCTCGTATGCTTCACTGTCTGCAGTAACACCATCTGTGTCTTCAGTGACAAAATCTCCTGTTAATGTTGTAACAACATCTTCTGTTGTTTCTGCTGTTCATCCTCCCAGCTCCTGTGTACCAAGCAACACTTCAGTGTGCCACTTAGACGCTTCTATCAAAAAACTGTTGGTCAGTCCAGAGGGAGCCATTTTGAATGCTATAAATGCTCCAGCACCAAAAGTTTCTTCCCTGTCTTCATCACTGCCTCCTGTTGTGTCCACAAGCAGAAATCCTACCACTGTCTTCCCTGCGTCTCAGTCATCTTGCCTTGATAAACCTGACAAAGCTGCATCTTGAACTTACTGCAAATGAGCCACTTTGAAAATTTTGGGGATTCTTCTGACTTTGAAAGTTGTACTGTTGAATAATTTCTTACATTGTTTGAAACAATTGTTTTACTCACTGTTACTTAAACTTAAGAGTTCTTTCCTGTTAACCTATGGGGATTTGGAGGAAGAAAAATTTTAGTTTGTCAGGTTTCAGAGAGTTCTTTAGTAAAACGGTCAGAAATGACCAGTGAATTCATTAAACAGTTTGGAGAAATCTTGCCTTTTGCACATGTTCCATCTTACATTATGGACTGTTTGCCAGTGTGTTTATGACAGTATATATGTTCTTTTTATTTGTCAAATTTATTTTTGATTGTTTCTTTTAAAAAAAATATTTATGCATTGTGAAAATGCAGTCTATGGTATAGAATTGTACATATTCCTGAATTCCTAATAACCTGTACTAAACAATATGTACAAGGAACTATGCTGTCTTATTTATGTTTTGTTTACATAATGTATAGTTTTTAAAGTATTTTAGTAACTTTGGACCAGTGTACTGTTTAGCAACAATGCAGAAGAATCTGCATATAATAAATCCAGTTGCTGTACTGCTTTGTGTTGGCAATAGTTAAAAATGTCTATCTGTTACACCACAGCAGAATACACCTATACACACACACACACACACATACACACACATACATCTTTCCTACTTATGCAGATGGATCTCAACTTTGGTGTATGATAGAATGAAATTATTTAATTTCTTCTGCTCTTCTCTGATTTTACATTTCACATGATTTGGCAGGAGCTGGAAGGAAGGCCTTCTTATCCTTGCATGATACAGGGTGGAGTAACCCATACCTCATCCATTCATAGTAAGTGTTTGGTTGCATTGCCTAAATATCTCCAGTGAAGTGGTAAAGCTACAAATGGCTTCCCAGACACCAGTCTAAGTCACACTTGTTGCTGTTAGGGACTACCATGTTTTCTCTTAAAGCTCATAGGTCTGTTGAACATTTCATTTTTCTGTTTTTTTTACAGCCTTGTATGCATTTCTATGAATCTAGTAACTGTAACAAGGCCACTCATTAAACTTCTGTCTAGCTGTAACAAGCTACACGGTCTTTTCACCAGTCATGCTTCCTAGATCTGTGTATTTTGCTTTAGCCTATCATTGTTCTGTCTGGAAGGGTAGCTCTAAAGCATCACACAATATAAAAGGAAGCTTTATTAGTGCTTTGAGCGGGAATAATTCACATCTTACACAAGACTTATGCAGTGTGTTCAGTGCTGGTGAGCTGATAAAACCTGTGGCTTATCTTTTGCAGTTCTGCTCAGTTCACAACTGTCTGCTGCAGTGCTTATGGAGACATAAATTTTGGTTCCTTTGGAAACCTAGCATATAAAGTAAGGGTGTCCATCTTACGTTACGGAAGATGTTGATTTTGGAATTGCTGTCTTTGTATGTGTTGGATTTTTTGTGGGGTTTGGGTTTTTTTCAAGAAACTAGAAGGGAAGATTTCAGAAGAACTTACGAATGATAGTTGCCTTTTTAATAACTATGACTTCAAAGAGGGATAAAATCTTACATATCTGTATTTTGTAGCATTCTTAAGACTGAGTTACATCGCAATGAAACTTCAGCCTTTGCTCCTCACTCTTCTCTTTTTGCGATACACAGTTTGGCAGTTTGGATCTTGAGTTGAAGAATATGACCACAGCTTACTCCGTGTCAGCTGCCCTTTGTATTGTTTGGAAAGTAATCTGATAACCAGTTATCTAGAGTCCTGGGAAACTGGGGGGGAGAAAGGCTTGTGCCCTCCATAGGGACCTTCCCTTTTGCACCAACCAAAAAAATTGAATTGGGAAATTGCATCTTTCTGGATGAGAAATCACCTTATCTCAGGGCTAGGAAAATGGAAGCTGTCAGTTTCAGGGTGAGATAAAGTTTGTTTAAATTTTAGGATAAACTACCTGGTATGCTTTTTCTACTTCTCATTAAAAGAGCTTTGTAATTGATTGTGAAGACACCTAGTGGTAAGTAAGTGGTGTCTGCTTGCCAGAGTTTATAGTATTAAGGATTTTAAAATCTGACTGCGTTTTGTGGTTCTATCTTGTAGGTGACTTTACCAACAGAGGACGATGTCAGAGAGTGGCAGTTTCTTCATACTCTTACATACTCTAAAACCATATATACCAGCGACTCATTTTATTACCATTTCACTGGTGGAGCCTTGGGACTCACTTTCTTGGGTTTTTCTCTTCTCTTGCAATGGCTGGTTTTTTCCTTTTTATTTTATAGAATTTTATTTATGTTTGTTGTAGAGTGAATATCTGCATTACTTGGAAAGTTCAAGACTAGGCTCTATTATTGCAGATGCTCTGGATGGATAAAAAATCTTGCATCACATATTTCTGTGTGCTAAGGTAGTGGAAAGATTTATGCAATAATTGATTCTAATAAAAAGAAAATCTAGAAAAGCTTAACTTAGGAACTCATATCTCAAGTAACATGCCCGAATGATTTCCAAGAAATTTCCTGAATTAGTGTGATAATAGGATTGTTTTATAAATATTTTATAATTTGGCAGGCATAAATTTTACAATATGAAAAGTTGATTCAGTTTGATTAGAGGTTTCATGGACTTTTATTCTCTACTAAACATATGATGAGGTTCCAAATCTTACTGGGGAAATACCTGAGACTGCTATGTAATGGGTTTGCATAATTCATTATGTAAAACCAAATTTTAGTAATTTTTATGAGGAAAATTCCTATTCCCAACACTCTTCTCCAAAAATATAGAAGTCAGAAGTAAGGCTTTCTTTCAAATGAAAGTAAATAACCATTGACAATTTGCTACATATCTTTTGCTCTCTCTGCCAAATGTATAGTGCTACCTATAGCTATACCTATACTATATGTTTAATGAAATGACCTGAACATACAACAGCCTTTCAGTTTTGTTGCACAGTTTAATATGCCATCAACAGAGAAGTAGAAATGAATAAATGCTACTTCTCCAAAGCACAGAACAACTAATTAACCTTTTTCTTTACATAAGAAGTGAAAAGAAGTTTTCTTCTAAAGGCAAGAAAATGTACTCTTACGTCACGTGGATACATGATGTATACCAACAACGTAATGGATATTTTGCCAATATTAGACGTAAGTATGAGTCAAAATATTCTGATAATATTTTATTTCACTGAAAAATTACAGGCAATGTAGTTAACACTATTGCAGTTCTTAAGGCCAGGATAATATATATACATCCTCACCTGCAGCAGGAGTTAAGCCAACAGGGATTGCTGAGGTGAATGTCACTGGATTGTCCTAGCAACCAGCTGCATATGCCAGCCCTGTTACATTGGACTAGTGAGACTCTAAAACGTCAAGTACTTGCTGTAGAAAGTTCTTGGTACTTTCTTTTATCATAGCTCTCTGACATGTGGAATATACCCTATGGCTCTTGGCTCAGTGAGTGTTTTGCTACATGGTTCAATATGCCAGGAAGATTGAACTCATCAGGATCTGCTGCATTTTACCTTTGTGCAATGGCTGTGATGGCTGAGCAATATTCTGGAACTTTTGAAGGCTATGTTGAGGCTTGTAACTGCATTAGGTAGTAGATGAGCCACCAGGATCACACCAGGAATCCAAGCACAGGCAATGCAAGTGATACTGCCATTAAAATTTACCAATCTGGCAAAAAAACCCCTATAATAATGAGGGTCCTGGTTTTGAATGTGTTCATTGCATGAATAACTACAGACCAGTTGCTAAGATTGTCTTGTACAGATAAGCTTCAATAACAGTGTGTCTTCTTCTCTGATGGAAGCATTTTAATGCAGACCAGTAGCAAGCAGAGTTTAATTCTCCAGCTATGATCAGCCACCTCTCTTCATCAGTATGCTGGGGGAAAACTCAAGTCACCCATTAATTTCTTCGTTAGTTTTTTTTTGGTAGGAGAAAATAAAGCACAAATATCTTGTTTGTTCAGAATTATAGCTGCAACACATGGCATCTGTTCGCAGCCTGATCACAAAGAAGGTAAAAAAAAAGAGGAGCAGAAGTTCTTTGACTTTTACATCCTCCTGTTACATACATAACCATACCAGAGAAATTATAAATCTAAAGTTTGGTGACCAGTTGTTACTCTGGGGTCATATGACTGTCTAATGTGAAAGACTTTCCTGGAAATTTGAAAACTTTCTGCTATGTTCTTGATGTCCGGTAGTTAAGATGTTTCTATGCACTTCTTTTTCCTTTTAAGGCAACAGACAACCTAGAAAGTTTTAACTTGTTTTTGTAAAGTGCAGTGTTATTGAGCATAGGACACAAAGTACATAACATAGCCAGTTCTTGCAGCATATGAATTTGGTGATTACAGGTCTCTTGCTTTCAAGTTTTGACCTGTCTTGTATAGGTGTTTCTTCAATGGGTCAGCAGCCAGAATCTGCAATATACCATCACTGAGTATAGAGCCAGATTTGAAAAACGGAATTTGTGATGATCTTGAGCATGAATGATGAAGTTTCCACCCATATAACATAGTGCTCTTTGAACCTCTCTTTTCAATGCCCTAATTAAAATCTGAGACCACTGTCTAACTGTGTCTATGAAGAAAAAGTACTGCTTTCACAGGGAGAAAAAATGGGACAACTTTCTTCAGAAACTAATGATAGGTTTTCAAGTGGGTTTGTCTGTCCTGTAAGTATCGATAAATTAGTGTGAAAGTTTAATAGTTCCAGCTCTGGCTGCTGAGCAGTTCTAACAATTTACCTGTCTGTACATAGTCCTGGAAGTAAATGAATGTTTCTACTTAGTCAATGTTAACTTCCTTGTGAGTTTTTGCCACAGCTGGTAATATATTTAATGCTGACACTGCTAAAAATGTGTGGGATCAAGTAAAACTTCTCAAACTCTAAGCACTTTACTTCTTTTGTAGTAAAAAATTAACTTCTATTTCTCAGCCAGGAATGTGTATGCCAGTTCTATTCCACTGTAGCACTACACAGACTTTTGAAAGGTGTTTCCCCAGAGAGATGCAGGTACAGATTTGCCAAAGATATTAGCCTCAAGCTTTAGTTTACCAGCTCTGCAAAAAAATTGTTTACCCATTGCATTCTACATCTCTAGTGCTTACCAGCTATAAGCTGGTATGTTGTGTATTTTCCTCTGTGTTCTTCTTCCTGTCACTAAATAAGTCCACAGTTTTTTTCCTTAAAGGTGTATATTGCAAATGGCACAGGCAAGACAGCTTTTTTTTGTTAAAGTACCTCTCTAGGTTTATAAATAAATATATCAACCAAATGTATAAAAGCACATAAATTGATTATAACCTTTTATAGTGATTACTGGTATTTATTGCCTAGAACAATTTTACTAATCTATATAAACACTTTTATTACAAAGGAAACATTTCTGTGTCTGTATCTTATTATTTATAACCATATATAGAGTTTATGTTAGGCAAGTAAATCTACCTTGTATTTAAAACTTTGTTCTGGTTTAAGGTGTTCATATATGCATATTTGATGACTAAGAATTGGTTTCTTTACTAATCACAGCTAATCATTGTTTTATGAAATTTCTTTCCTTCTGTAACTACTTTTCATTTAACGAATGAGTTACAGTTTTAGCTGCCTCCTGCTGTGAGATATCAGGCCTTGTGTATAAATTTGTTGATCTGCACATAATCTCTAATAATCTGTAATAATCTGGCAAGTAAACAATAACAAAAAAGCTAAGTAAGCAATGAGTATCAAATGTATGTAGCAGATCTATGTGCATCACAATTCTTTGGTTTATAGTACTGCTAGTGTTTGGGCAAGCTGGAAAAAATAACATCTTGGAGGCTGCTGTCTTCTGTATTCTTCAAGAAACATGACTTTCACGCATTTTCTCTCATTGTTCCATCATATTGGAAAGAGATGACCCATAAAGCTCTGTATCTACCAAGTTCTTTTGCTTTCTGACAAGCCTGCCAGAAGGAAACTAGAGGTGATGGTCATTGTACACTGACTGGTGTGAAATAATAGGGACTCTCAACAGAAATGCCTAGGTTGCCTTGACTGTGTTTTATAAGCTATTAATTAATTACAGGTACCATTCCAGGGATCAAGGATTCCAAGATAAAGGAAGAGACACACACAGGTAGTAAACTCAAAGTGTTTTATTCCACCTGTATATATGTATGCCCTTAGAAAAACAATAAAAGTCTACTGCATTATAAGGGAAAAGTTATGTCCCTAACAATTATGAGTACATACCAACCCCAAGAGTGATGAGTGGTTCAGCACAGAGGCCCATTCTGGGGTGTCGGCAGGCACGGAAGCTTAGTGGGCATCCCTGCAGAGGCAATGTGGTCCTTGAGTTCTGGTGCCCCCCCACCAAAGGTGTGTGTGGCCTTATATATCATAATTTTTTAGCGTCGTCCTGACACGACCGGTGCACGACAGGATGAGGCACGTCCGAATTTTTGAGTACCCACATGCCTTTGGTCACATATGTTGGCTCTACACATGTGCAGAGTCTAAGGGTGGTTGTCAGTCTCCCCTGGGGGTTGTTACTTCCTCACCCTTCCTCATCATCACCTCTAAGCATCCTTGATGGGCTGTTTGGCCGTGAGTCAAGGCTCGTTATCCTTTCATTTTCCTTAGCTGAAGTTTTATTTGCACTGCTTGCTCCTTTTTCGCTCTAGTCCCACAGGCCAGCTGCACCTGCTTACTCCCTTCTCACTCCATTCTCACGGTAGAGCTGCACCTGCTTACTTTTATAGTCAGGTTGACATGGCCTGCTGCAGACCATCTCCATTAAAAAGTGTCTTCGCACACAGATACTTATACAGGCATCGTGATGCAAAGGTGTGTTGTAAAACGATCACTCTCTGGAAGTTAATTATAAAACTGCTGGTAAGGAAAACAGCCTGTAACAGGACATGTAGTCAAATAGTTTTGTTCATCTTAGGACAGATTCTTGTACCTCACATTCTAAGGAATAGTTTACTTATTTATTTTTCAAAGAAAGGGAGAGGAAATGAGGAAGATGAAAACAAAGGTGCCAGCACTTTTTACTCTGACTGATACTGAATAGTATGTACTTACACCTGATAGATCTATGAAGGATTCAAGATGTGCAGAGCATAGTGTATCAGTCTGACCAGAGGAAATGAAAAACTTAAAACAAAAGCACTTTTATATTTATTGAGGCATTTCAAGATCCAGTACTGTAAGCTAAGCAGAAATAATTTTCAGCAACTGCTAATGAAAGCATGTAATATTTTTTTCATGATTTTAGCTTTATGAAAGTTAAGCATGTACAGGAAATTAAGAGGGAGCATAAAGATGGAATCTGTATGTTTAGAGTTTAAAATTTCATGTTATCATGGTGAATAAGGTGGTGGTGACTGATCTGCAGCAATTTTGTCATACGCTGGTGGAGCATCAGGTACCTATGGTAAGGAAAATGGGTGTGAAAGATTGAAAAAACAACTAAGGTACAAGAAAGTGACATTAAACATGCAGCAGGCTATTTACCATCATATTAGATGCAGTATTATGGCTTACAATAGATGAGATCACTCATTATGTCTATCTTTTAGGATTATTTCTTTGCTAGTAAATTTTCTGGTTTTGCCGCAAATTAAATTAATTTTGTTGGTATTGTTCATCCAAAGACAGAATTTTCAGTGTTGTAAAGACAGGACTTTTTAAAAAAATATATCAGGGTTTTTTATATTGAGAATTTAGATTAATATTGAAGATTTTCTTTTAAAAGTCTTATTTCCAGTGTTATCAATGTGATCATCTTATTTAAAATTGTTTGTAAATTACCCTTTTCCTTATTCTAAAGCCATTACTTGGCATATATACTTATTGCTTAAGTTAATTTAACTTTTTTAAAGTTATTGATTTTAATGTTCATCTTTCCATAATGATTAGAAGATCTAAAACCTTGAAGTTTTATAACGCTCCCTGACAATGCCTGTCAGAGTATAGTATACCAGACACACTCCATTTGTTGTTTGGCAGAATGGCAGAACATCTGTTAAGGAGATGTTTCGGGGTTCTTTCTAGTATATTTCAGCATTCAGGTGGTACATCAGTGATCACACGATTTAAGAATAAATTAGTAAAAAGAGAATTTTAAAAAGAATTCTAAACAGTAGATTTGAAAAACCCTTTACACAGTAAAAATTGTTCAAAATACTGCTTTCTAAGTTCATGTAGAGGCATTGAAGACCCAATCTAAAGAGCACACTCCAAGAAAGAAATCATCAAGTGCCTGTTTACCAAGATTGTCTCACCATGTCTTACTGTGTTTTAAGTACATGAAACCTTGAGTTGCAACTTACCACAGGACTAAAGTTTCTGTACTCCTGCAGAGTCATTTTGCAGTCCAATATTGCTCCCTCACCTACCACGTTTCGTACTGTGCCCGCACTAGAGCTTTTGCTCTGTGACAGATCATAAAGAAATATGAGGAAGATGAAAGGAAGAAGAGACTGTGAATATGGAGCAAGTTATGCATCATTTAATGTTTGACAGCACATTTACAGTATGTATTAGAATCTGGGATTAGGGCCAGAAAAATGCAAGCAAATAAGAGAAATCATTTACCTATCAGTTTTTGCTGTCTCTGTTGAGACATACTCTTTATCCTGTATTATCCAATTATATTGACAGAAAAATGCGGATCACATTTTTTAGGTCCAGGACTGCTGCAGGAACTGACATCTTCCCATGCACCTGAATGCCTCCTCTTTTTTATCCCACCCATTTATTTGCTTAATCTCCAAACATTTTCTTTTCCATTTTTCCAACATTTCTTTTGTACACATTCTGTATCAGTTCTCCCATAGCCAAAAGAAGCATATGGAAAATCTGATTTTCAAAACCAGAAAGTAGTAATCTGCAGTGAGATGGAATTAAAAAAGAGATTGTGCTTTATGCCATGGTGTACAAAAAAGGCATTTGGCTTGCTTTTTGAAGGTTTTTTTATTACTTTCATTTTTGCAATATTTCAATATGAAAGTTGAGGTTTTATGTGTTCTGCCTGTTGACATATGCATTGGATAGATAATTGGAAAGGGAATGGGACAAAGTTATTGGACATAGCAAGGAAATGGATTTGCTGACTTTGATGACAGGTATGTTGGGGTTTTTAATCCCGAATAGTCATATCTTTTTCATGATATTAGGATAATTAGAAGCTACTTACTGTAAAACATATAATTGGATAAAACTTGTCCTGATTCCAGCTGGGATAGAGTTCATGTTTTTCTCAGTAGCTGATACAGTGCTGTATTTTGAATTCATTATGAGAATAATGCTGATAACACACTGATGATTTGTTTATTGCTCGGTTGTGTTTACTCAAAATCAAGGACTTTTCAGTGTCTCATGCTCTGTCAGTGAGCAGGTGCACAAGAAGCTGGGAGGGAGCATGGCTGAGACACCTGACCTGAACTGGCCAAAGGGATATTCCATACCACAGAATGTCATGCCCAGTGTATAAACTGAGGAGTTGGCCAGGAGGAGACAATTGCTGCTTGGGTATGGGCTAGGCATCAGTCAGCAGGTGGTGAGCAAGTGGACTATGCATCACTTGTTCCTCTTGGGTTTTATTCCTCTCTCTCTCCCCCCTTTCCATTATTGTGATTATTAGTAGTAACATTAGTAGATTATATTTTGTTCCAATTACTAAACTGTCCTTATCTCAACCCATTAAGTTCACCTTTTCTTTCCCATTCTCCTGCCCACTGGAGTGGTGGAGAAAAGTAAGCCAGTGGCTGTTTGGTGTTTAGTTGCTGGTTGGGGTTAAACCACAACAAACTTTCACTTTAAAGGATTAAAGACTTCCCTTTGATAGGAGAGAGAAGAGAACTTCAAAGATAAAGTTTTGAGACTTCTAACAAGAGATGTTATGAGAAGGATTTCACCATTATTTATACTTTCTAAGAAGACACAAAGGATTTTTTAGAAGTAATGTTAAGAAAACAAAGCACTCTTCCTTTTTGTAAATCTTAAAAAGTTAAGTCAGGTTTACAGGTGAATCATGCATCACCCATATGTGAACATATTTAATTAGTTACTTTTAACAGTTATTTTTCTTCTCTGCTTCCTAGATTTACTCTAATCATATCTGTCCTTATCTAGGGGTAAGTCTTATGAGAAGTGAATGTTACTTTTATCAGTGTATATATTGCCTCAGATAATGATGTCCTGTTACAGATTCAATGTTCTCTGCATTAATTTTGTGCAAATAATGGTAATATGTTGTCAAAATAATAGCATGCTAGAAATGAGCTGCTGTGCTTACCCGCAGACTTTTGTAGCCACTACGTCTTTTGTAATACCAGCAGCCAAAGGCAAGTAAAATTGCCAGCACCAAAATCAAGAGTCCAATACCCAGAGCTCTGTTGGGAAAGCAAAGCAAAATAATTAACACCACAACTAGATGCATTCTCCCGGGAGCAAGAATGACTAGAGCAAAAGTTTGTGTAGGTATCCTTTTACTGGAGGAAGGCATGGAGCAGAATTTACCTCAGAAAACAGACAAAGTATCAATAACTTCAGCCAGTCTCTGTAGATGCAGCAGTTAGCTAGATTCTCTGCCAAGTTCTTCAGCATTTTAAAAATGAAAAATATACTGCTTCAAAGATAATAAGCTAGCAGTGACTACTGATTCTAACAAGATACCTGTGTGTAAGTCCAGTGAACAGCATTGCGATATTGGAAGAGAATGTGAAATAAATTAAATGCCACACCCGAGACACAGCTCATGTTTATTTATTTATTAAATTTCTCTAGGCAGCAAGTAGTGACAAATATATCCTAATTGCATCATAGTGCAACAACCGCTGGTGACAGAAGGAATTTTTGGTTATATAAGACACTGTACAACCTGAAAACACGAGTAAGAAACTTTGAATTATTCATAAAGATCTCTGTAATTATTTAGTTCTTGTTCTATGACATCTTAGGTACAGTATTGTGTCACTGGGTCATTTTAGGGAAAATATGCTTTGCAAACTGTGCTGTAAGACATCCTTCCCACTGCTCACTTGGGAACTTGGGAGAAGCAGCTCAGTTCCACTGTCTGTCAGAAAGCAAGCTGACAAGGTAACTGGAAGTTTGCTAGTCACAAAACCCCTTTCTTCTGTGTAAATATCCTCCCTGTTAAGACATATGGAATTCATTCCACTTTTTTTTTTTCTTTGCCTGTCCAGGAACAGAAGAGTATGCAAAACACTTAAAAGGAAGAGCATATGGGAATGAAGTTACTATATGAATCAGGATAAACCCATTCAAGCATACTTCTGTGTGTCTTAGACCCAGTTACCCTGCAATAATTACCACCAGGCTTTTCCATTGGGACTGAGTAGTGGGGTATGTGACTTAATAGAGATTATCTTATATCTATTTGCTATCATTTTCATTGACTCCATGTCTCATGAAGGAGTGTTTGCTTGTGACCTAAGAAGTCTGAGAGAAGATGCAAGCAGATTTGTGTGGCAGAACAGGCTGCCTTTTTGTATGAACTGCCTGGGTGCTGTTTGAAACATGAAGCCCCTTGGAGTCAAAGGGATTTTCTTCGTCACAAGTACCTGGCTCTTGCAAGGTTCTCCTGCCCCTTGAAGGCTTCATGTTGGCTGGAGACCTGTTTAACCCAAGAACATAGCTCACAGCATTCACTTGCTTTGTGGTGCAGTCATGTCGCAGCTGATATCCAAAGTTATGAAATGGTTACACTGGTTTTATTACTGTCCCCAGCACTTGGGGACTTGGAGAGACTTGGAGAGACTTGGAGACTATTTCTCCAACTTGGAGAGACTATTTCTCTAAGCAACTGCTGCCCTCTACATTTTGAGACTGCCTTCTGCTTTTCACATGTTCTGCTGTTTTAGCTGTTTGTTAGCTAGTATACACCCAGAATGTGTGTTGTTTCTGGAGCTGGTGCTTTTGACCACACGTTTGCCATCTAACTTCTTCCCCACCTATTCAGAGACTAGTATGGAAATTGTGTGTGCAATTTCTTGCAATTTCAGTTAAAGCTGCAGCTGTTCTGTGAGGAATCTGGGCCCGTATCTTGAATACCTCTTCTGGTACTGGAAGGAGATAGTCACTTTTCTCTCACATATCTAGAAAAACTGCTTACAATTGCAGCCACTGGAATTCACAGCAGTTAGAGGTGAGCATGCTTAGTTGTAAGTGCTGTGACATGACTAGTCAACTTTTCCTTTTGAAGACTGAACTGCTTTGAAAAGACTATGAGAGATCCTTCCCGTTTATTTATTCTCTCTGCCCAGAGTTGATCATGGAGGAACAAGTATCTTGCAGTGCGTGTTTGTGTGTGTGTGACAAGTCACCAAGTTTGGGACCCAGTAAACCACTACCAGAAGCGCACTTCACACACAGATATCCCAAGCACACTGGAAGTATTTGTCTAACATAATAAAAGATAGCCAGCTGGATGGTGTCTCTAATAATCCAAGACCCAAGATATTTTGTCCTAGCCCAAAGCTAACAAAGTATTAGTCTGAAACAGTTCTGCTTAAGTGGACTCTCATCCAGAAACAATTTGCTGAGAGACACATTTGTACGGCATTGATGTCTCCATCTGCTTTTTTCTAACTATTAATCTGGAGGTTTCCCATGTTATTTAGGGTGAGACAATGTCCCTTTGAGGTTCCCAAGAGAGGTCTGTGGATCTAGTGGTAAATTTAGTGTGAAGATCACCTTGCCACAGCCCCAAGACAAAATTCCAAATAAGCCTCAATAAACCTGGAAAATTTATTATAGTGGCTAATGACTTGTGATTACATGATCAAACTATATTCTTGAATTCTGCCAATTCCAAATTTTCTTAACCATTGAGGACTCTCTTTATGATTGCACAATGACAAACATTAGAGACAATTACAGGATAGCTAAAATGCACTCTACTGTATACAATGGTGAGTTTTTCTAGTGCTATTTTCTAGATTTCTTTCAATGCAAATTTTTTCACCAGCTTACATGCTAGCATAGGATTTGTTTTATGCTTACTCTTCTGCTGCAAAATAGGTGTTTCCTTTCCCTCTCAAGTAGTTGCCATCCAGGTGGTGGTTTCTTCTGGGCATTTTGTGAGATCG